ATCAAAGGTAACTATAAATAAGAGTTACTTTCATCCTGCTCATCAGCACTACACTGATGAGGCCCATTAGGCCGAAACGGTACCGTCTGTAGTTATATATATATATATATATATATATATATACACTGAATCCAGAAAAGTTTGACCTTCAAATATATATATATGTCGGCCATTTTGAATTTTCTTGGGTTAATTATACGCGAACGCATACATCAAATGTCGCTCGCAACGTACTGTATATTGCAATATTCCAACAGCTCAAATAAGTACAGGATCATTGCTTGAAGTTTGTACACATATTTGTAGTAGCTATCTAATGAAAATTTGAGGGTTGTTAGCTAATTAACTCTTGTCACAATTTGGAACCTGATCTTTTTGGCATGTCGAAATTTATTCTTTTGCATCCTTAGAGATTTAGACGCTTATTAGCATGCCTCGATGAATTTCTTTGTTTATTCTTTCGTATTCACTTGTGCTTATTTTATAGCTGTAACCTACGTCCAGAATTATTATATTTTGCCAACGGAAATTTTAACGGAATCGATATTTCATCCCCTGAAACTCAGCACGCGCAGCATTCGTGACCTGGCGAAGCAGGTCACTATGTTCATTTCCAAATGTTCATTTCCTACTAGCCATTATGATTATGTGCAAAGACATCAATCAATGATTCTTTTATTCATTTGAGCTGTTGGAATAATGTTGCAGTATACAATACGTTGCGAGCGACATTTGATGTATGCGTTCGCGTATAATTAACCCAAGAAAATTCAAAATGGCCGACATATATATATATTCGAAGGTCAAACTTTTCTGGATCCAGTGTATATATATATATATATATATATATATATATATATATATATATATATATATATATATATATATATATATATATATATATATATATATATATATATATAATTTCGCTTACCTCAAAATTCCGCAACAGTCTGTTTCATCAGTAAAGAAACCGCCTGATGATTCTTTACTGATGAAACAGACTGTTGCGGAATTTTGAGGTAAGCGAAATTCTACATTTGCTCTATCTTTATGATATTGAGCACTCTTTGCGTTTCGTATACACAAACCTACTCGTATATATAACTATTTCAAACTATATAACTACAGACGGTACCGTTTCGGCCTTTTGGGCCTCAACAGTGTAGTGCTGATGAGCAGGATGAAAGTAACCACTATAAATAGTTACCTTTGATGTCTCACGAATGTGGGACATCAAACCATTGCCAAGAGTGCTCAAACTGCGAGCAGTGAGCATGCGCACAATGCGTAAGCAGCAATGGCTCATCCTGTAGAGTGCTCAATATGACACAAAGGCCATAGAGCAATATCTATATATATATATATATATATATATATATATATATATATATATATATATATATATATATATATATATATATATATATATATATATATATATATATATAGTGAAATGTTGCTGATAACAAGATACAAGTGTTGTATATAGAAAAGGTTTCAATGTGCAACCAAAAGAGACATTTATAACATAAAATAAAATAAAAGCCACTCAAATTTTGCACAAACGTTTTCGCTTTAATGTTAGCTCCTCAGGTGCATATTTACAATGAGTGGAATTTAGTTTATCTATTATCTACGTTCTATGATATCATATTATAACTATGTTAGGAATGCATATATTTACATGGTGTGAAGTCACCCGTTAAAAACATTCTATTGATCTAAATGTAAGCATAAACTTAATGGTTTTTTAATTAGCGTTCAGATCCGGATTCAGTATATTGATAAGTTCTTTTTCTTTCATCTCCCTAAAAAGTCTGTCCGTGTTAATGCATTGATATATAGGCATTATTTTGAAAATTTCGTTGTTACACATATTTAAGTGTTCGCTTACTTTTAGATGTCTATACTCTTCGTGTCGAATTTGTTCCTTGTGCAATGTCACTCTTTTTCGTAAGTTTTCTGTCTGGCCGACGTCGAAGCTGTCGCATTTTGAGCAAATGATCACGTAAATGACATATCTCGCTTTGCAGTTCATCGTTGAATTGACTTTCCAGGTTTTTCCGCTCTTTAATGTAACAGACTTTCTTGTGATTAAAACATCGCATGTTCCACATCGCTTTTCCTCGCATTTTGTTACACAGTGTTCTCTGTCCTCTGAATTGAATTGTGCTTTTGTCAAGTATCGCTTCAAGTTCTTCGGTTGGCGTTTGCTTACAATGAGTTTTGTTCTGTCTAATACTCGTTTCATTTTCTCGGAATTGTTTAGAAATTTAAAGTTCTCCCTTATTTTTCCAATTACTTGAGGATTGTTGGGATTATGAGTTATTACTAAAGGCAAGACATTGTCATCAGTTTTATGTTTTGGTGCCCTCAATTCCTCAATGTTTTTTGATGAAGCCTTCTGTATTCCGTTTTTTATAAGCAATTTCAGATAGTTCTGCTTTTGTAGGAAATATTCTAGTTCATCAAGACGCTTCTTCTTTAAATCTTGATTTGTTACAATTGCACAGATCCGTCTTGCCAGTGTGTAGGGAATGTTTGATTTTGTATGTCCAGGATGACATGAATGATAATCCAGATATTGGTGTGTGTCCGTTTGTTTGTAATGTATATCACTTTCTAACCGTTCCGCGTTCTTGTAGAGTAGTGTATCCAAAAACGGTAGTTTCTTATTGTCATATTCCATCGTGAACTGTATTTTTGGATGAAGTGAATTTAACATTTTATGAAGTTCCTCGAGTTCTGCTTCTGTCTTCTGCCAGGGTAGAAAACAGTCGTCTAAGAAACGTTTAAACAATTTCACGAAGTTTTCTTTTTCGTCCTGTCCATACTTTTTCTTGAACCTTTCGTACAGTTGTGTCTCAATGAAACCCATAGTTAATGTGGCGTACGTTGGTGCCATTTTAGTGCCCATTGCTGTTCCTTGTATTTGTTTATAATTAATGTCATCAAATTGAAATGTATTCTCCTTTAGGACAATTGAAATGGCCTCCAAAATAAATTCTTTAGGGAACGGTCGTGGCAATGATTCACGGTGTTTGTCCAACCAATGTTCGATTGCTGTGAGTCCAAGATCATGTGGGATACTTGTATACAAGCTGATGACGTCGAATGATACCAATATCGTTTTCTCGTTTATATTTGTAGGTATATATATATATATATATATATATATATATATAGACAAGTATCGAGTTTGGAATATATATATATATATATATATATATATATATATACACTGTTAATTTCGAGGAGTCAAAGTGACTCCAAAAGTGGAGTAAATAAAAAAGGTACAGAACGACTCCTTTTTTGGAGTAAATTTTACTCCTTTTTTTACTGCATGTTTTGGAGTAATTTTTACTCCTTAAGTAGAGTTGTTCCTACTCTTCAAGGAGTAAAAACAACTCCACTTAAGGAGTTAAAATTACTCCAAAACATGGAGTAAAATTTACTCCAAAAAAGGAGTCGTTCTGTACCTTTTTTATTTACTCCACTTTTGGAGTCAATTCGACTCCTTTGGAGACAAAATGACTTCTATATATCGGAGTAAATAAAAGTCTTTAACTAACTTTAGATATCAATAAAGACAATTTTCGAGTCAAAATAATTTATTATCCCTAGAAGTAAGGTATATTATAGCAGGAAATACAATTTGCTGCAGCATAATATAATGATATACTCTTACACCCTATAATATTTAATGAAGTTCTAAAATGAAATTTTGATTAGAATGATATCATGAATACATGTGGAATACAATTACAAGCCTGTCAGCATGAATTGAACCTGCAGCCCTGCAATTCTACCACAGCCCTCAGACCTAAAGAGCCCTTTTGCCAAGATGTAACCACAAGTTGCTGTATATATACCATGGTGGTGTCATTGGTAGTGTATTAAATAAACTTCCCAGGATGACACTAGTATTATATATATGAACTCTTGGTTACAGTAGAGCTTGATTGACTCTCAGGGCGATGGACTCTTAGAGCTTCAGGATCCTTGACGGTTAAAAAACTGATCAGAATCACTTGTAGGGCAGCAGGTTCCATTCCCAGCACAGTACCGGCTATTACATAGTTATCGTTCAAAAAATTTACATTTACAGAAAAGCTTTAACCCATTAAGTGGCAACACTCTCTCCTTAATGAGCAAAAATTGTCTGACCACATTAGACAGAAAAAATAAAAAAGTAAAGCACATTGCCACTTAAAGGGTTAATATTCTGTTCAATGTAGAATATTTACAAGTAAAATATACTGCATATATTAAATATATGTAGTGTCACTTAGATGCGATTGTTTACTTGCTTTTAACTGCCTAGCTAGCAGTCCTTTGTTTTACCCAAGAAAAACAGCGAGTAACCGAGGTAAAACTTATATTTTCTTTTCCTACAAAACATGTGTTCTTAAAAGCATGCTTACTGCGCATGCGCTTGCTAAATTATGCTAAAAACTTTATGTAAGACATATAACGCGTGTCCATTCCGCCGGCCTTGATTGGATCAACACAAGAATGTCATGAAATAATATAAACATATATCTAAAACTTATCTGTTCAAACTTATGTTCGTTCATTGTTCATTACTTCACTTCATTTCATCATCTTTCTTCGGCACTTCCTTCGCTGGTAGAAGTAAACATAACTTCACAATCGGTCGGATGAAGGTGCCAGTCTTCGTTTGTACAGTAACGACTCGAACAAGTTTATCTGGACCAGGATGAACCTTTGTGACTCGAGCAAGAGGCCATTGACAAGTTGGTGTACGATTGTCTTTAACGAGGACAATATCATCTAGTTGAAGATTTCGTTTTGGAACTTTCCACTTGTTAAATCGTTGTAAGCCATTGAGATATTCAGCAGACCATCGTTTCCAGAAATGTTGCGTCAATGCTTGACAGAGTTTCCATCTTTTTAAACCAAGAATGGGCTCTTTGTAAATGCGGCCAGGTAGAGCTTCTAAAGGACGTCCAATTAGAAAATGTCCAGGGGTAAGTGGAGATATTCCATCATCATCATTTGTATCAAGAGAAGGTATCAGTGGACGAGAGTTGAGACAGGCTTCGATTTGGCAGAGGGTGGTTGTCATTTCTTCGAAGTTTAGTTTGGTTTCCCCAACTATTCGCTTCAAGTGCCGTTTACAAGACTTTACCCCGTTCTCCCAAACAGAACCATGATGAGGACCGGTGGGTGGGCTAAACTTCCACTGGATGCCTTGGGACGAACAAAAGTTCATAACAGATTCTTTGATATCTGGTCTTTGAAGTAGTCGATAAAGTTCCCTTAAATCTTTATCCGTACGTCGAAAACAAGTCGCTCCAAATCTGCGTGGGTTTTCCTCTTCGAGAAACAAAGCGACGAAGTGTGGCAAGGAATGCTTCCGCCGAGAGGTCTGATACTAATTCGATGTGACACGACTTGGTTACGAGGCAAACAAAAACTGCTACATAGGCTTTACGACACGTTGGCTTTCGAACTGATCCTATCTTTAGTGTAAACGGTCCAGCATAGTCTACTGAGACTCTCTCATTGGCAAAGGTGGGCAAAACACGTGCTGACGGAAGTTGACCCATCAGTTGAGTTGTTATCTTTGGAGATGCTCGCTTGCACACTACACACTCACGTATCAACTTACGAACGACTCTACGTGCACTAATGATGTGATAGGTATCCTGAAGAGATCCTAAAGTAAGCTTTGGACCAGCATGACACAATCGTTTATGTTCGCTTTGTATGATCAAGGTTGACAGATAATGCTTTCCATGAAGGACCAGTGGATGCTGAGATTCGTAATCTTTTATTGACTGCGAAAGACGACCACCAATTCTTAATAATCCGTCTTTATCCAAGAAGGCATTCAATGATTGCAAGGGATCCGACAATGGTAATGCGTTTTTCTTTTTTAACAATTTGATAGTGTTTGGGAACATTTGAGCTTGGGCTTGTTTAATCAACCAAGTTTTAGCGTTGGATAGTTCAGACACTGCTAGTGGTGTAGAACTGAATAGGTTTGAACGGGTGACTACGCGAAATACCCAAGCAGTAACTCTCACGAGTTGAATGTAACTGGAATATCGAGTAATGTCAATCACAGGCTCCGTCGAGGCTGTATCTGTCGTTGTTTGCAGAGTAACTTCTTCTTTCTCTTTTAGTTGTAAGCAGTCTTTCGTGACACCCAGCGATTGGAGAGCTTCCAGTGAAGGAGGTGCAGTAAATTTCGATGGCCAATTCGACTGATTTTGCTTAAGCCAATCTGGACCAGTCCACCACAGGGGGTGTTCTTTAATTTCCTTTGCTAATATACCACGAGATCCGACGTCCGCTGGATTTTGTAAACCATCAACGTGTTTCCATCTTTGAGGTGGTATCAGATCTTGTATCTTTGCAATTCGATTAGCTTCAAAAGTTTTAAACCGCTGGCTAGTGCCATAGATCCAGTAAAGAACGATTGAGCTGTCTGTGAAGGCATGTAAATTCAACAATGGAATGGAAAGGATTTCTTGAAGATGTCTCATCATCTGCGCAAGTAAAAGAGCTCCGCAAAGTTTGAGACGAGGTAGGGAAACTTTCTTGATTAGTGCAACGCGTGTTTTAGCCATGACAAGAGATATGTGAACTTCACCTGTTGCGTTAGTGCTTCTTAAATAAACAGTACCACAATAAGCCTTTTCACTGGCGTCAGAAAAACCAATAAGCTGTTGATCAACAATCTGGAAATGTATTGGCGTATAGCAGCGAGGGATTCTTAAGTTGGACAGTTCAAACAAACTTTCTCTCCAGTTCATAAAGTGTCTCTGCACGTCCGGTGGCAATGGCTCATCCCAATCGATGCTTTGTTTCCATAGCTGTTGGAAAATGATTTTCACAACAATCGTGACACACGAGATAAGACCAAGTGGGTCGAAGATCTTTGAAGAATCAGATAATACGTTGCGTTTGGTAAGGTGGGACTGATCAACAGAGAGCTCAGCAGTAGAAAATCGAAAACAATCTTGATTTGAGTTGTATTCTATGCCAAGTGTCTTAACGAAGTTGTCTGAATCTCCTAACTTAGATGTACTTTGGCTGCTTCGAATTTCTGGCGGAATAGAGTTCAACACTTCAGTAGAGTTAGAGTCCCATTTATGAAGTTTGAAACCGCCTGTGGCAAAGAGATCTTGGAGCTGTCGCTGTAACAAGATTGCTTCTTGCTTGGTTTGTACAGAAGGTAAACCATCGTCCACGTAAAAGGATTCCCTTACGACTTTGGCAGCGAGCGGGAACTTTGCTTCGTTGTCTTCAGCGAGGCGAAATACCGAATTTGTTGCAAGAAATGCCGCACTTGCAATTCCAAACGTGACTCGTGTCATTCGATGATCATGGACTGGATCATTAGGATTTTCTCTCCACAGAAACCGATGGTAATCTCTATCCTCAATAGCTAAGCCAACTGCCCGATACATTTTGGAAACATCAGTGGTAAGGACATACGGATGTCTTCGGAAACGAATGAGAACATCGTTAAGTGGGGAATATACAGTTGGTCCGACAAGAAGCTGATCATTAAGAGAGACACCAGAAGTGGTTTTCATTGAACCATCGAAGACAACACGTAGAGGAGTTGTTGCCGAATCTTTGTAAACAGCATGGTGGGCCAAGTAAAAGGTATTCGAAGAGGGTTTGTTGAGATCATTATCGGGAACTCTTTCAGCATGACCAGAGGAAATATACTCATTCACAACATTTGCGTAATCTTCAAACTGTTCGGAACGATGAAGACGACGTTCAAGAGACAAGAAACGACGTAAGGCGAGAGGTCGTGATTCTCCCAAGGTTGATTTCTGTGGTTTGAAAGGGATGTTAACAATAAAGCGACCATTTTCTTCATGCTTGAGGTGTTGGTTGTAATGTTGTAATGCTAATTTGTCAGTGAGTGACACAGGTACTTTAGGTTTAGGTGGCTCCTCCAATGTCCAAAATTTCTTCAGAGTTTCTTCGCAACTAGGATAAGCAGTAGATACATGGAGAGTTGTGACTGATTCTGTTGTTGAACGATCACCATTGACATTGCCAAACAAGACCCAACCAAAAAGGGTTTCTTGAGCTGACGGCGTTCCTTTGGGTCCAAGAATAAGCCCTTGTTTCAAGATGTCGTGATAAGCACTTACGCCAAGAAGAATATCAATTGGTTTCGATATATTGAATGCGGGATCTGCTAACTTGAGAGAGGACAAGTGAGGCCAATGACCTTTTGGAAAGGAATTGGTTGGTAGACACCTGGTTAAGGACTGAAGAACAATGGCTTGCACATTTAACAGAGTAGAAGAGCTCTGAGTAGCTTTCAAGTTAATGTTCACAGTACTGTTACTTAGGGTAGAGCACTGGGATCCTCCAATTCCGTTTATGGTGATTTCTTGTTTAGATCTTCTTAACTTAAGGTGTTGAGCTAGTCTTTCCGTGATGAAGGACGCTGTTGAAGCTGGGTCGAGTAGGGCTCGAGCTGTTATTTGTTGACCAGATGGGGAGCTTACAATGACTTCAGCTGTCATCATAAGAACATTATTCAAGCTGTTCGCTTTGGGTGTCGCTACGTAGCTACTGGTGGGTGGATTACTACTTGCGGGTTCACTACTGGTGGGTGGATTACTTGGTGGAAAGGGGTTTGGGAAAGGGGGCAAATTGATGTTTAGGGCACCTTGCTTTGACAATTCAGGTTTGTTTTCAGGTGGTTTGGAATCATCAACATGCAATAAAGTGTGATGCCTTTTGCCACATTTAAGACATGAATGTGGTGAAGGACATTGCTTTGGCATATGTCTTCCCTTCAGACAATTGAGGCAAAGTCCCTTTTCATACACAAAGGCACGCTTCTCGGAAAGGGATTTCTCTTTGAAGGCTTGACAATAGGCTATGCTGTGTTTCTGCCCATTGCAAGCTGAACACTTAACTTGTGTGGTAGTGGTATGGACTGATTCTGATTTGCCAAAATTCCCAGGACTGTACGACTTTGGTTTCTTGTTAAAGG